CTGTAAACTCAATACACGCGAGTTTTCCACGGTTCTCAGCAGGAGAAATCTCACTTTGATATGTTGGAACAATCATGCTAAGAAAACCGACACCAAACCCAGAAATGATGCGGCCCACAATCATTGCATGATAGCCAGTGGCGAACGTCTGGACAAGACCGCCAAATGAAAAGGAGACAGCACCCCATACTAAAACGGCTTTGCGTCCGTGCCGGTCAGCCATAATACCACTCAGCAATGAAGTGATCAATGCACCGATTTCTAAAATTGCGACCATAGTGCCGACTTGACTGGCTGTGGGATTGTCAAAATAGGCCTTGAATGCAGGGTGCGTCAGAATTCCACTCATGACGCCCTGATCATAGCCAAACATGAATACGCCCAAACTCGCGAAGCACGTAACAAACAGGACTAGTCCATCTCCTTTGATGTTCAGGTAGCGCGTCAAAATATTTGTGCTTTGCGAAGGGTCAACGGCCGGTGGGTGTAACGCACTTGTGTGGTCGGAAGTCGAAGACATGTAAGGCGTTGTTACAGAGCGACGGAATGTGGGTGGCACAGGAGGCTCAGCCCCATATAAGTCGGCTGGCAGATTTTGTGCGACTGTCGGTTTATCAAGCGAGTTCGCATACTCATCGAGCGGATCCAAATCGATGGAGCTGGGAGTCATATCCGTAGACCCATTCACTTTTGCGCGCGGCGTGATAGTTCCTTCAGCCGGAGTGCCATATTTGGACATGGTAGCGATGCCAGTATGCGTGGAGACATTTGTAGCCGCATCCTGGTCGCGTGCGCGAATTTCTTGTGCAACGCGGGCCTTTTCCTGTCGTAACTGGTCGGCAGCACGGATGCCCCAAGACCCGCGAAAAATGATGTGAACCTCTTCAAGCGATAGTTGACGCGTATCAGGAAAGCAGCAAACGCAGAACACAAAGCCCAATGCACAGAGGCCGGCATAGAAACCGAATGCACCAGACGATGTTGCAGCACGCACGAGAGACAGGTACGTGGCACCAATAATCAAGTTACAGCTCCAGTTAACAGCAGTGGCAATACTTGTGCCCATCGCACGGGTTTCAATAGCGAATAATTCGCCTTGTTGCCATGGAACATTGCCAATGCCGAAACCATAAAACAGGACGTAGATAATGATTGCCACAATCACCAGGTAAGTCCAAAATTTACGGCTGGACGGAATCTCTGTGGATAATTGGCCATCGTCCCTGACTGGGAGAAAAGCGAAACAAATGGCAGCAAATACCAAGGCAGCCGACATCACAGGTACTGAATAAAGTAAGACACGCCGGCGTCCAATGATATCAATATACTTGAGTGCCACAAGTGTCGCGAGGAAATTGCTCGCACTCACAATCAAGGACACAGCCACAGGTTTTTCAAAACCAATTGCCTCGAAGATAGTTCCACTGTAGTACATGAGTGTGTTGAAGCCACACAATTGCTGCAATGCTTGGAGACCACACGCGAGTGCCAGAGCACGGGCATTGGGCCCAGTGAGTAAAAAGCGTACACGCTGGACAAACGTAAGCTTGCTGTGCTTATCCTCAAAGTGCTGTAACGTATTATCCAGATTTTCGGCGCGTTCTCGACAGTAGGTCTCAATTGCATGTGGGTAGATGCGACGAAACGTGCGCACGGCACGCTCCATTTTTCCCTTTTGACTATCATATCGAGGTGATTCTGGGAGCCAGGCCATGCTAACCAACGAGATAATTGCAAGGATGGCTCCACCAGCCACAGTGTAGCGCCACCCTCCTTTCATATTCTCGAAACAGCACGACGCCAGTAGCAATTAGCTGGCCCATAGTGAGAAACACGACATTGAGCGTTACGAGACGCCCACGCAAATGCGCAGGAGCTAGCTCACCGATCCACAAAGGTACAATCATCGAGGCCACGCCAACGCCTATTCCTACAACGAAGCGTCCACCAATCAGGGTCCACGTGCCTTGGGCAGCGGCCTGGATAATAGCGCCCACAATGAAGACGACATTTGCCAGTGCAATGACCATCTTTCGACCAATCCATTCTGACGGAAACATCGCGCACAATGAGCCAATTAATGCACCGAGAGAAGTCGCCGATGTGATAAGCTGTTTCGTCCCATCACCTAACTGACCGAGGTCGCCATACTGGTCCAGACTCACAAGAACAGACGAAACGTAGCCTGTATCATAACCGAACAAAGAGCCGCAGAGTGCTGCACTCATGGTCAGCATCCACATAGTCCAGCCAACGCGCTCCATGTTGCTCGTGGCTGCTGCGACTGATGACTCGAGGCCTACCATGTAAGCGTCAGCTTTGGCATTTTCCGAATCAAGGACGGAATCATCCCCTGACCCTTGCTTGTGCATCGGTATATTTTCCATCCACGCCTACCAAGTAAACTAGCTTTTTCTTCTTCTTTCTCGTCTTAGTCTCCTGGAGCCGTTTACAACAACTGGCACGCAAATGTGTATGTGAAAAGTGCTAATTCACCCGCCACAGGTACGCGGTCGAGTTGGCGGGTCACGACGCCTGTCGCCGCCCTTCCTCCACATCTACACGTACATGCCATTGGAAATTTTGCCCGATCCACTGTTGTGATACGAGCTAAAAGCATCAGCGTTGCAGAAGAGGAATGTAAGTCTACGCAGGCTTTACGAGCCTGCGACATACACACGGTACTTATTCAAACAAGCCTCTATCTGAAACATTATGCAGCCCAATGTTCAAGTCCCACGAATGAGACACCAGGCTCGGCCGTAAGTTCGCCTAGCACTACAGGCTGTTCACCGGCGTCACGCAGCGCAGAGCAAGTCTGCTCGCTAGCTGACGACGACACAACAAGGACCATACCAATGCCATTGTTGAATGTGCGAGCCATTTCCTGCGGTTCGATCTGACCTTCCCTCTGCAGCCATGCAAAGAGAGAAGGACGCTGCCAACGCGACACATCTACCTTAGCACCAAGACTTTCCGGCAGCATACGTGGCAGGTTGTCGGTAAACCCACCACCAGTGATGTGAGCAAGGCCAAGCACATGATGCTCACCGTGCATTACATGACCAAGGGCCTTGACATAAATACGGGTCGGTGCGAGCAACGCATCGCCAAGACAGGCATGAATACTATCGTTCCAAGGACAAGGGGCACTGAGGGCAATGCCGGAACGAGCCACGACCTTACGGACAAGCGAGAACCCATTCGAATGAAGTCCGCTGCTTCGAAGTCCAATCAGCACGTCGCCAGGCTGCATGTGAGAAGTTCTAGGCAAGATAGCATCACGCTCCACAGCGCCGACGGCAAAACCAGCGACATCGTACTCGTTACCGACGTACATGCCAGGCATTTCAGCCGTTTCGCCGCCAATCAACGCGCACTCCGCATCACGACAACCATCAGCGATCCCCTTTACTACAGCTGAAGCTGTGTCAACATCAAGCTTGGAGCAAGCAAAGTAATCGAGGAAGAAAAGCGGCTGAGCACCCTGGACAAGCAAGTCGTTAACAGACATCGCAACAAGGTCAATCCCGATTGTATCGTGCTTTCCATGTTCTAAAGCAATACGCAGCTTAGTACCGACACCATCTGTACCGCTGACCAGAATGGGATCACGCATGTTCAATGCCTTGAGATCGAACAGACCGCCAAAGCCACCTAGTGTTCCCATGCAGCCGGGACGCTGGGTAGTTTTGGAAAGTGGCTTGATCCGCTCTACAAGTGTGTTTCCTGCGTCAATATCGACACCTGCAGATGCGTAAGTCATGCCAGCAGGTGCACTGGACCGTGCAGCAGCCAAAGCACGGTGAGCAATGTCGCGGCGGTACACCATGCCCTCGAACTTAACATTTGAGACCCCAGCATATACCCGCTGCAGTGCCTCATCGAGAGTGGCTCCAACAGCCGAAACTGCGAGCACACGACCGCCTGCAGTGAGAAGTTGGCCATCATCAGCACGCTTAGTGCCCGCATGGTACACTGACACGCAATCGGGCATTGTCTCAATATGAACAGGCACGCCAGTTGCATATTTGCCAGGATAGCCACCACTCGCGATAACCACGCTAACAGCGAAACCAGGACGAATCGCAAGATCGACACAGTCGAGGCGGTTCTCAACACATGCCATCATGACGTCAGCGAGCGTCGATGGATGCTCGAGGAGTTCCAGGACGGCCTCCGTTTCTGGATCTCCAAATCGAACATTGAATTCGAGGACCTTGGGTCCCTTGCTCGTGAGCATGAGACCCACGAATAGCATTCCAACAAAGGATGTACCGTCGCGACGCAAACCCTGAATGGTCGGGAGCAAGATCTCCTGTCGAATGCGCTCCTCCATTCCTGCAGCTGTTCCATCGGGAGTTGGGCAGTACGCACCCATACCGCCCGTATTGAGACCGGTGTCTCCTTCGCCGATACGCTTGTGGTCTTGGCATCCAGGCAGTGCACGGACCGTGTACCCGTCAGAAAATGCAAGCACTGAGAGTTCAGAGCCATCTAAACGCTCTTCAATAATTAGGAAATCACCGGCATTACCAAACACTTTGCGAACTAGCAGGTCTTCAACACCTTGACGCGCCTCATCGTCGGTGTCTGGTAAAATCACACCTTTACCACCGGCGAGACCACTGGCTTTTAATACGACAGATTTTGCACCACCCAACTCCCGGATAAATTCATAGCATTCTTCCACTTGATCGGCTGTGAATGTGCGATATGCAGCGGTCGGAATTTGGTGCCGGGCCATGAAATCTTTTGCATATGCTTTAGAGCCTTCGATTTGGGCCGCCTCCATGCTAGGGCCAAACACCTTGATCCCAACGAGACGGAACGCACGCTCAACACCTGCAACGAGTGGGGCCTCTGGTCCAGGAATACATAGAGTAACTCTTTGAGCCTTAGCCCACTCTGCGATTTCGCTGAAGTCGCCGCTAGCCTTAGGCGTGCTGACATTCGAACAGCGACTTCCAAGAGTGGCTGTGCCACCATTCCCCGGTGCAACGTAGACATGCTCAACACGTTCTGAACGAAGCAAGTGCAATGCCAATGCATGCTCACGACCACCAGAGCCGAGGATCAGTGCACGAATGGCCGACATGATGATGGGTCAGAACAAAAACCAGTTGTGGAACAGCCGATCAGATGACGTAAACGTGCGGGTGGCAGGGACGATCGGACCACATGACGAGAGAACCCAAACGGCCATGACAATAAAAATTTGAAATCCATTTTTTCCTTTCCCACCACTCTGGACAATGTCGAAGCATACGCTCGCAGATGGCGCGGAGGCGCCAGAGGCTGAGCGTCCACGTTTGGAAGAACGGATTCATGAAAATGGGGACCCTGAAGGGGGAATGGGAGAGTTTGAAGACCCATTCGAAGATGAGATCGAAAGTGACGGTGAAATCGTAGACGCAAATCCAGACGAGACAGATATGGAAGAGGAAGACGAGGAATCAAAAGTGCCTACAAAGGCTTATATGCCGGGAACAATGCCTTTGGAAGAAGGGCAAACACTAGTTCCCGATCAATCAGCGTATGATATGTTGCATCGCATGAATGTGACATGGCCATGCTTATCGTTCGACTTTCTCCGAGACCACATGGGCTCGCAGCGACAGACCATGCCACATACGGCCTATCTCGTCGCTGGTACCCAAGCAGACACTGCGAAAAATAATGAGGTTCTTATAATGAAGGCGAGTGCGATGCATCGCACGTCGCGTGATGATGGTACGTTTGAAAGGACAGAGACCGGCGAGACATCATCGCACATGGCTATGATGTCTTGAGGCATTTGGCTGTATGAGTGGCGCTGTAAAGCACCACTCGATGCCGAAAACCAACTCGCTACCTATCTTATCAATTCTGAGCCTGTCGATAATTGCCTGTTCTCTGTCCAAAATAATGACTGAGATAAAGCTAACGAAAATCAGCCCGTTCAGATGATGACAACGATGATGATGACGATGATGTGGATGAAGATGCCATCCTCGAATATAAAACAATTCCGCATCTAGGAGGCGTGAATCGTGTGCGAGCAGCGCCTACTACGACGCCGACATCCGAGCTGGAACCATGCTTGGATCCCTACCCTGTAGCGACATGGGCGGAGACGGGCAAAGTTCACATTTGGGATGTTCGTCCCCTATTCAACGCACTGAATCAACCCGGCACCAAGATTGATAAGAAGAAGGTCGAATCGCCACTGTTCACAATAAATGCACATCGAACTGAAGGTTTTGCCATGGATTGGGGCGGCCTTTTGGGCGGTGGTTCATCTGGAAATACTGGTCACTTGCGCTTGCTAACAGGCGATATGCATAGCAAGATCTTCCTCACAACAAGCAATAATACCGGGTTCACTACACATGCTCAGCCATTCGAGAGTCACACATCGTCCATTGAGGACCTGCAATGGAGTCCAGCTGAGCCCACAGTGTTCGCTTCGTGCTCTGCAGACCGAAGCATCCGGATTTGGGATGTGCGTATAAAGTCGCACCGCTCGGCTCTTGCCGTTGATGCGGCACATGATCAGGATGTAAATGTTATCAGCTGGAATCACGGTACGCAGTACTTACTCTTGTCTGGTGGTGACGACGGAGCGTTGAATGTGTGGGATATGCGTGCGTTTAAACATGGCCAGAGACCAAGTCCAGTTGCGCACTTTGAGTGGCACCAAGCGCCCATCAGCAGCGTAGAATGGCACCCAGATGAAGACAGTATATTTGCTGCATCGGGTCGTGATGACCAAGTGACGTTGTGGGATTTGGGTGTCGAACATGATGAAGATGAAGATCCGGCGCAGTTGCCGAAGGGGCCCAATGGCGAGCCTGTGCCGAGCCAGTTGCTCTTTTGTCACCATGGTGCCACAGATATCAAGGAAGTCCACTGGCACCCACAAATCCCTGGCGTGCTGGGGACTACATCATCTGATGGCTTCCACTTCTTTAAGACGATTTCTGTGTAGTAGCAGCTGTATATGATAGTCTTATATCCATTTGCAATTCACGCATTTATGAATGCATTAGGAGCGTTTATGGCAGAATGGCTCGGGAGTTCTACCTTTGTATACCCAAGCTTCCATGGCCTGTTTGAGTTCCTCCGGAAACGTGGCTTTGCACAGACGGTCATAATCGTAAGCGACGCAGTCGAAATCAGCCTCAGCCACCACGTTACGCTGTGCCACAGAGTACGCCGTCGATCGAATGATGGCCCTGTCACGCCGATGCATCGGAAGAGGCGCTTGTCCGATGATTATCATGTCAGGGTACGTCACAGGACGACGGTAACGACAATATGTTGATGCGAGAATGACGCCAACGCCTCGACCTAATGCGAGGTTGTCGCGAATCTCACGATTCAACGTACTCGTAACGCGCTCTATCCAGCGCATACGAGCCGTTTCGAACCACCTTATATAATGCACATTGTTTACTGGACGGATAAGTATGATGAGTCACGACCTACCATGCTCAAACTGATCATGATCACCCCAAATGACGGGCTGTCGAAACACTGCAGCGCGGGGAAATCCTAGTTTAGACACTTCGTCTTCGGCCTCTCGAACTTGTGCTTCATACGCGGCCTCATTCTTCTGTACATCTTCAAAAGAAACAGGCCTGTATCTGCGGACAGACTGAGGGCTCAGACGCCACGCAGGCAGGGAAGCACGGCGAATAGCTTGACCAAATATACGTGACATGGAGGAATTGACCGTAGATTCGGGCTGCGCACCAAATTAAAATTTCAAGCGCTTGGCGCCGGTGACATGTGAATCTGGTGTTCACGTAATTCGTCGTGAAGGATGGTACCTAACACATTATATACATAAAGGCTTTGCTGGGCGATCACGGTTCACCCTATGATACACAACGGGACATTTGAAGTACGAAAAAAATCAAAATGTTGCATTCGTACGACTCTAGTTTGGAGGATTTCATAAAAGTGGCTGAATCATTTTTCATATCCCTATTTGGTGCGCCGTTAACGGCATGACATGTGTTGCGCACGGACAACGCTCTGCTTTCTTAGTACATTTGATGCCTTATGTCCCTCTAAATCCTCTCCCATTTAAATGTACCAGGAGAACTCCAGCAATTCGATTTCGTACTCACTATTAGTACAATGGGCCCAGTGGACGAACAATTTTTCTGTGCATAGAAAAGAATCGAAATAGCAGCCCAACCGTGGGCACAAGAGTTTCACTACCTGTTGATCGTTCAAAGAAAATTTTTCTCTCCGCAATTCTCCATTGTTCTCCGACGCAAGGGCCTTAGTCTGGCCAATCCTGCGTGCCGGACATTGACAGGGCGAGTGGCGTAGTGCATCACGTGCATTACGGAGTGACCCATTCCGTTGATTGGGTCGCCAAAAACCGCGTACTTCAACCGCTTATCCAAACTATTCATGACAATGAACCTATATAAATCTACTTAGCGCGCCACCGTTATAGGCATTCCAACTGAGAACCTGTCATGAGGATGCAACTTGGGAGTGTAATGGCTGTAGCAGCCTTGAGTGGACTTGTTTATGGTGCACCTGCGCAGAATGGAAGGTGTCATCCTGTGGCAAAGCCCGGCCCGCTGGTAGGCCTGGGCGACTATGAAGATACATCCGTCCAGCAACTCTCGTTTGGCGCTGCTAAAGGTTACAAGGGACATGTACTTGTAGCTTCGGATGATGCGGGAGAGGCCCTCCAATTCTATGAGTGTGAGCCACCGTCAGACAAGTATGAGGGCTCGAATGATTATTGGTACTATGGTCAAGTGCGCTCCAAGAACGACCCAAGTCTGTGCTTGACGCCTGGCACCGTAAATCGTCCCATTAAGGGATCTAAGCACAAGTGGGAGGCTTATCCAGAAGATGGGGAGAAGGCCGTGCGGATGGAACCATGCGCACAGGAAGCGTCACTCACTATGCGAAAGCAATGGTTCCGTATTCCTAGGACAGGACCTAAAGGTTGCTCGCGCGAGTTGGACCAGGCTGGCTGGAAAGGTGACGAACTCTCGTTGCGACTTGAGTATGATGGTGGTTCGCCTGTCACATTTGGCGTGACGACTAGGGACTACGCGAGGATTCTCATGCTAAACTCAGGCAAAGCCGAGCATAGGTGCATCAATGCATTCTAATCAACCTGTCATTGGCATTGCATGCGAATTTTGAACTCAAGTATGCCGAACAATATGAGCTTGACTCAATTCGAGTTCGAACCAGAATAATGTAGATAAAGATAATAAATTAAAACGTTTTGGATGTCAAACACCGAGAAGGCTGTACGGGCAAATTAAATGCTAGGTTTGCTTGAAAGGGTTGTTGAATCAGGCACTTATTTCGTGCACGTGCCAAGTTTTGAGAATGGGCTGTGCCTAAATATTATTCGGAGTAGGATTTCTGGATGCCATCTTGTAGGATATGGGAAGGGGATTTGCAGCTGAAAACCGTGACACTGCACGTAGATCGAGACGAGAGTTCTATTGCTATTGAAGAAACTTCAGCCACTATCCGCATTACAATCTCGTCGCAAAGGAGCTTACGATGTAGGTTATTCTTTGTCAACAATACATTGGCTCTGCGAATACACGGAAACTCAGTGATAACGAAACATTCACCGTTCCGTTCCTCCAGAAACAAATTAAAATAAGCAATTAATGATGTATTCGATAAGTTCGACTGTTTTATTTTCATAAAACACTGCCAAAGATAATCAAAGTTTTGGATCGAGCGATCAAGATGTGATATCAAAAGCTAGAAATAAAATATTGGACATGAAGATGTAACAAAATGTTATAGTGTTCTGTTTGATGTGGCTTGTGAATGAAGGGCGAGGAAGTAGGAGAATTGTTTTCAAAGATTGATTTGACGGATTCAAAGTTGGGTTCGAAGGCCGCAGCATGCTGTAAATATCGAGATCCCAAGGCTACCGGGAAAAGAAGAAACATCCCATAATTATTACCTGCTAAGTAGACTAGATACAAACGAACTGTTAGATGTACCGTATGTAGTCATTGTTAGAACACGACGTGCCAGGAATAAGAAAGCTGTGCGTGTTGAATCAGCGATGAGCTTTGACAAAAATTCTGTGGAGCTCAACAGGTCCCCGGCGCATCAATATTTGAAGTCTCCAATTTTATCGACGTCCTTCAAGGCCATTAGCGTTTGGGTTGTTCTGACCTTTGCATGATGTTAGGACGTCTAAAGACGCATTGTTCTATAGAGAAAGCTATTCGAAATGACTCGTGTAAAATGGGCTAACCTAATTTGAAAGTAAAGATTTTTACCTAGTTTTCTCTAGACTCTTAAGAAACCTAAGAGTCGGAACAACCGACGGATTGGTTGTCTTAAGACTCCATATAATCAACATGCCGAACGCATTGTAGCTTTAAAGGCAGGGTACTGGAGTGTCGAAGAAGACGGCAATAGCATAGTCCCAGGCTTCAATCTGGCGTCTTGCAGCAGGAAACATAGTGTATACTCTCCGGCCTGCACAGCGCATGACACAAGAATATCGAACGCTTAAAGAGCTATTATTTACAAAACTAGGAACCATGAACAAAACAATCATATATATACAAAACTCATCAAGAAACATCATGACAAACTTGGGGCGTGAATATTTGGAGACTTCCCCTCCCGGCGTGAGCGGAATGTGTTCACAGAGCGGGGTCGCGTTGACCTTTGAGTATTCACGCGGCGCCGCGCGAAGCCAATGCGGTGGTTGTCAAAGTCGAGAATAACAGAAACCAATTGGAAAATGGGCTCGCCCAAAATCCAGTGATTCAATCCATCCATACCAATAATTGGAACCTGACATTCATTGTTGTGCTTGACAGAGGCAGAGAATTTCAAAGGCACGCCACCAAGAACAAGGTCCGAACTAGTTGCCTTATCACAGTCGAACAGCCCGATGTACGAGCCATCTTTCGACTTTGTTATGCGAACACCTTCCATCGACATCAAAAGGCGCTTAACATCGGCGTTACTACCAAGCACAACCCTGGACGTCGAGTCGACAGTGCCACGGAACGAAAGGCCATTCCATGTGAAGGGAGTTGTCCAGTATCCTTGAGCCGGATTAACCGCATTCCAGCTAACATTTCCAAAGAACATAGAGTGGTCAAAGGAGCCAACGTTGAGACTGCCGTGCTTTTCGCCAAGAGTGAACTGGTAGATGTTCTTTTCGAGGTGTAAAGAAAGCACATTCGTGAAAGAATTAACTGGGGGCGCTGAGCTAATGGAAGGAAAAGCCAAGCCGATACGAGCGGAATTGTACGAAGACGGAGAGATAGCCACTTTCTTCAGTTCGAATGGACCAAAGGAAATATCATCCACATGAACCGAGTCGGGGTCACTCAGCTGCCTTGAAGTGATGGATTTTTCTGCATCGTAAGAAGAGTCAACAGTAACATCGGCAGAGCTGGTGTCAAAAGTGACAGCCACGGACTGGGGAGGAAAGCCGACAGAAATGAACGTTGACCAAGGATCTGAGTGGTCAGCCTCTTCGTTCATCTGGATCTGAGCGGCGCTGCGCTTGCGAAGGGTAGTTGCATTGACAGACGAGTCATGAAGACCTGTATTCTTGCGAAAAGCGAACGCATTGTGAATATACTTCGCGGAAAGAACATCAAGTTCGTCCTTCACTAGAGAATCAATGTGGGTTGCAGGAGGCTGCGAGCTGCGTTCTAGTTGAAAAGTAAGCCTCGCAGACGCGATTACCACTGCTTGAATCAATGCTAGTGCGACGAGATTGAGGAACATGTTTGATAGAATCACGAGGGCTAACAGGACACATTATATACCACTTCCTCAGCGAAACGGTGGACCTGACGCCAAGCAAAACGCCAAGTCGCGGGGAAACCATGGCGTTAGGCAACTCCGACGCACAGCGAGGGGGCGACGGACATTCAGGATGGCGGGCAATGGACTTTATTTAGAACAAATCCCTCAACCAATTGAATTGAAGGAATAGACCAATTGTGAGCGAGGGTTAAAATCATGAGTGGAGAAACTATGGAAAAACCAAGACATGATGAGTAATGGGTATTGTGACGGGCGCTGCAATTTCGATTATACGTCGTCTTGTTTGCTTGAACTATACTAATGTACAAGGAAAACAGCATTCATAAATATTTGTCAATAATCATGAAAGAGTACAAGGCAAGTTTGGCAGTTTAGTTATCCGATGTGGACGTTGAGACAACGGCCTTGAATGGGTTGTAGCCGGTGTACGATCCATCAGACACAATTGGACCTGGCATGAATGTGGGCCGTGCCGCAAAGTCTATAGGTGCAGCGGCGGCGGCCGTGGCTAGCGCTAGCGCAATAGCAGCAATATTTAGTGAAAATTGCATCTTAATATTCTAGCGAAAAGCAGCGGATAAACAAAGGGGTTTTCCACCAGACGGACTATCTGGACGTAGCAGTTTGTGATGCACGGACAAAAGCAATGCGCGTTGGGACAATTTTTTCATTCACAAACATCGTTCATTTACGACCAACGCGATTTGACAATTCATGCCCCCAACAGTATCCCTGATTGGATTTCATTATTTCCCTGTCCCCAGCCCATGCATACGAGCCTCCTCCATTTCATTCTTCCAGATCCATATCTGTGTAACCTAATAGCATGAACCGTCGCTCACCGGCATACGGAGGCTTCGTGGTGCGCAAACACTTAGCTCGAATTTAGGTTCAAACCATAGACTCAGCAAAATGCACCGGACTCGCAAAGCAGATCTTCCATTGAACCAGGTCACATGGCTGCGTAGAGATCTATGCAATATGTGTGCTTTGTGAAGAACCAACCCATTGTAGGTGCGCCGATTTGCAATGCATATGCACTAGTTTTAGCCCTGAGTGGGATTTGGCGCACAAGGACAATGTGACACATCGCAGTGTTGGTTGCGCAAAGAACTTTAGGGAGTCAAGTTCTTAAGTGGGGGTTGTTGCGATACGTCCGGCAAGTACGGAATAATGGCTTCAAGGTGCATGAGTAACCAGGCTGGTTCGGTTTAATTAGTGTAATTTGGCTGGAAATAGTTCGTGCATAATGAGCGGATATTGGAGAGGGCAGTAGTTAGGCTCATCAGAGGGACCTGGGAATATCATGATGCGCATGTACGTTTTAAGTGGCTCTCTTTGAGACGGAAGTATGCATTACGTGGGATACCAGACGCGCCAGTATTGGTCTACAAACAATGGTACAAGGGTCTAAATACATCCTGGTAAGATGAAAGTAACATGGAAGATAGGGTGTTCGAATAACGTCATTCTGAATGTACGCGGTACATGACAAAAAGTAATGACCCCGTGCGTTTAGAGAACCTTGCCATACAGAGAATGCAAGAAACAGTGGAGCCTGAACGAAGGCAGATGATTGAATTGAAAAGCCAGGCCACGGACAGACTTGTAGTATTTTTATGTCGTGAGAATGTGCGTACATGTGTAGGGCACCGAGTCAGGAGAATGTGACACACGTCCGCAAGAGATATAATGAAGAGGGATGACGGTGCTAGGAAGAATAGTTCGCAGCCGATTGCGCCCTGTACGAAAAGGACTTTTACGCTGACTGTGCTATGTACTGGAATGGTTCATGTATAAGATTAGATAGAGCTGATTAAAGATGGTGCACCACTATAATGGCAAAAATGATCAGAATAAAAGAGGCAAAAAAAAAATCAACAACTACAAGTACGATGTAGCCAATGAAATAGGATAATTCAAGTTGCCCCAACAACAAACCCTCAACCAATGCGATATGCACAGGAATGATGAACGGAAATAAGGTCAAAATACTGGAGACGACATCTGACAACGCCAGAATGCACTTCAGAGTCAAATTTTGGGTAGAATCGGGTGGTCGACATGAGACTTATCGATAACCAGCACACAGAAAAAGAATACACTACATGTCATACCAAAAGCAAATTAGAATCAGAGCAGACAAGAGAGAAGAGATGAACAAAGAGACACAGGCAAACAGGGGAAACACAAAGAAGGAAACAGGGGAGACAGAGAAGGGGAGAGAGGAACGAATGATAGAGCGATCAAGTGGCTAATGAGGAGGTAATGCGAGAGGTAGAAATTTGTTCGCGAGGAGGCCGTGTGCAGGGGTGACATGGATAGCAGAGTTCCACAATCGCTGCAAAATTCGGAATACTTCCTTAGAAACGATCGCACATGTCGAAAATAAGAAATCACTAAATCAAAACATGAGTCCATTCATACAACAACGTATTAATGTGGCATAAGTACATGCGACTGACACGCTGAAATGCACCTGAAGAAGGTGCAAAAACATACGCAATGGACAGAAACAATCTATCCCATGTGCAAACGGACATGTACGACTCATCTTGCTTGGTAGAAGAAAAGGTACAAAGTCAGCTCTTTCGAGTACAAGACGGAGCAAGGAAAGAAGCTCTATAATATGTTGGAGTTGGTCGATTCGTAAAGCGGGTATACCTTCAAGAACACGATCCAAGGCCCAAAAAGAAGCCTACACTGATTGTAGCACTGTATGAAACCATCCTTGAGGGAGCTGCGGTAAAGATCAATGAATCGACGTGGAAGAAGAGCCCAAATGATAGCGGACGTGGACAATGAAATGACGGAGGTGGAGTGTGATGGTATGCTGAAATAAGGCGGTTTAGGCAAGACAAATCATAAATTTTGCATCCTTCGCCAAGCACAGCGTGGTTAGGACTAGGACGAATTTTCGTAACCAGGAAGCAGCCGCAACAGAGTTTCAAGCGGCTGAAACATTGGGAGCGTTCATGTTACGAAATGGACGAGGAGCAAATACTCGAACAAAGGAATGGCACGTGAGCATGTGTCATTTCGGACAAGACTCATCATGTGTGGCCTGGGCGCATTTTAAAACACAGCTGCGTTCACAAATTTGGTTTCAATTCAAATGACCTAAGAGTGTGACTTATACTATGACTCGACACGCAAGGTATAAGAGGCGCCTTAAGGGTATAACGCTCCTCACGCTGATAGTGGAGGCATTATAATAATGAGCCGAGGCACAGCGCCTACTGTGAACCGCGCGAATACAAGGAAACCAACCGGAGAAGTACTCTGAAGAGCTCCTAGTCACGGAAAGTGGCACTCTATAACAAACGGATTGGCTCATCCGATCCATCAACAAGACCAAAATCGAGACTATGTTTAACGAGAAGCACTCGCTGACAGATGTGACCCCATTCCGAGACATCGTATTGAAATGACGGAAGTTGTTTTCGAATATATAACCTAGGTTAGTTTGACGCAAGTCCGACACAAATGAAGTGAGATCAAATATGCGAGCATGGTTCATGTACGGAAGAAGCAAAAGAGTGGGAAAAGCTCGCGGGAGAGTATCGAACGCTGAACACGCAGATCCAAAAGATGATTGAGGAGATGGAGTTGATCGAGGAGTAAGCAAGGAGCAGCGAGCAGCGAACAGAGAGGTCAGTGGTAATTGGGTGGATTGCTAGCGTGCACACGCTGAGACGCCTGTACGGGCGTTTCAGCACACACTAAGGTGCACCTCTTGGGGCAAGAGATCAGAGTTCGATTCTCTTCACAGAGCAGCCCAGACAGAGCACAAGTGCACAGGGAACAGAGCATGGAGTACCACCACGTGCAGGAGCAGCCACTTGATGAGGGTGGGACAGGGGCAAGGCCTCTCTGCCGTCTGATTCCTATGTGGACATAGAATGCATTTATCCTATAGGATTCAATCACGGTATGAGTTTTATATTTGAAATGTGCTCATTCAAGAGAATACCTGCAGGCGGAGATGGATATGCGTTTCCGCAAATTACGGTGGAGAACGCGCAAGTCACAACCCTGCATGGCTCGTTTACAAGGTCCAGCGTGAAGCCGGAGCATGTACGTTGGAGGTTTGACCATATGCAATGTGGAGACGCACAGTCGTGGAGTGAGCGAGAATCGGAGAAAATCTCTCGACGCGAAGGCTGACAGCACTCTGTGCGGTATGCACGAGAGCAAATAATCGCATCGTTTGGCCTTGCATCTGGGTCAGGATAAAGGCGATATTGGGCAATATATATATACTAATGGATACTCTGAATAGGCCGGCAGGAATTCCGCGAACATATAAAGGGATACAGCGCGGGTTCGACTGCCATATATAAATTACTCTGTTACCGCACACACATGCCGAGTAGCTGTAGCGAGGAAACATAAAGGCAGACTATGTCGATAAGATGAGTGCAAAATGGAAGAATTAAGGAAAAGTTGGAGGTAGAAAAAGGAGCTGGGAAAAGATTGTGAAGGAAAGAATGAAGTGATGGAGGCAGACAAAAGAGAACATCAGTAGGTGCGTGGTTGTAGAAGCAGCGATGAAAAATGAAGAAAATGAAAAAGCGCAAATGATAGTGTGACTGCCAAAGTCGACCTCGCCTCGCGGGAAGGCGTAAGGTTCAAAGATTAAATAACCGATTTCCAAGTCGGAACTGAAACGCATGTTTGGCAGCGGGGACATTCACCGCAATTGTGGACATCCTTTGGAGGATGTCCACACTTGCAATCTAAGAGATCTAATAAGTTGGAGATAAACTGATGTGGCTCAAACCCTGCGTTAAATAGATCGAATTCGGACTCATTGGGTGAACAATTATTATTATTCAAGTCGAAAAAAAACTAGCAGTTACATTTATCATAACTCCTTCCGGGCTTCAATTAGAGCTGACCGAAACAGAGTGAGCGAATGATCAATTCGGCAAAGCTCCCTAGTTTTAACCTGTGCAAGTACTGGACTTTTGACTCGCGAGTGCTCTGCTAGGGGACGCCGATACCACTTAGACCTCGCGTTCGCTTGGAACGTTTATCTTGCAGACCTAAAGTAGCTTTGGAGTCTTACATGGAATGAACAAAGCTGCAGAAAAGATCCAAAAGCAAGGTGCATGCGTACATCTTATGGGCTAGGCTTAATGAAGCCAATCAAGACTACGTGTCTGACACGTGAAAAGGAATTGACGTAATTGCACATGACACGTGTACAAATAGCGCGCATCACTGCAATTCTGTGCGCGACTGGGGTTTAGTAACGTCAGTAAAGAAATTCGCAATGAACAAGACCAATCATTATATGTAAAGTTTTTATGTCAAGCCCAAACCGCGTTCATATAAAGAGGTACATGTCTACTTTCATGTGCTTCTATCCGTTTCCGATAATCGAAGATGTACATGTACAATAGAGAGGAGAGCTGTTCCGGTCTGTCTTGCTGGTACAGTCCTGATGGAGACCATTTCAAAACTGCGCCTCAAGATGTACCAGCACCTAATGAACTTGTATTTTCCACGTTTGTTGTAATATTCGGTGTACTGTTCTGCGTGAGCCTGTGGTATCTGTGCAAGAGGCGGCCCAAATTCGAGTATGCGCTGATGACAACCTTTTGCGCTCTTGAGGCAGTGTACTTCGGGTATATGATGAGGTTCTACTTTAGTTATGGTGCAATCTGGGGAATTCACGCAGCAGCGAATTCAGTCGCATTGGGACTCTTCTACAGTCTTTATGTCCGCTGGACATGGATTGCGGATAAGTTTTATGGAAAGAAAACATTTGACCGAGGGTTTGGAAATCTGGCGGGGCAAATTATTGTGCCTTTGATCATGATCGCGTGCATTGTCGCGGCAGTGTGGGGATATTTATGGATTTGGATTGTATTTATGCTGTTTGTGTTTGTATTGTGGGTCATCGCACTGGTAGACTTGACCAAGCACCGAAAAAGCCCAAGCTCTCGACAAAGACGAACAATCATCCTCAGTGCTGAAGACTGGAAGTATGGGAGTTCACCGTACGTTACGAGCCACGGTCAGCTCGACAGGATGCTCGTCTTGTTGATTGTGGTCATGACAATCGTCCTCGGAAAAAATGTGGCAGAATTTGTGGGCTTCATTTGCTTAACGTGGTATTTCGCGTCGCCTGTTCACTTTTACTTGAGCATTGTGCCGGAGATTGCATTTGCGGTGATTCTTGCATCGCCAGAAGCCCTAGCAATGTTTGAGCCTGAGCGGCACCTGCCTGGTCATCATGTGCCTGAAATGCGTGAAGCCAATCCATTCGAACCGTGACATTTTTGGACTGTTCAAGGTTTGCACGAAATCACGAGCCACCAGAATTTCCACTAAAGCATTTTTCATCGTTCTGCATTAATTTACATTAGCATTTTTCCACATACTTGCATTCAGTCAATTTCACTTTTGCATTCACAACATTGAACTGTTGGGCTTGATTGACATAGGAGAACTTTCGGCAGACAAGCCACGAGACGGAAGAATAAAATAGCAGCGCGGAATTGATAATTTCATCCCTAGGACTCAGCGGGAAATGCACAATACCATAAATGGACTATCCCCAGATTGATGACACTTAAGGATCGTTTCGCATAAATGGACAAGTCGCCACAAGATATGAAGTGAGGGAATGTCAAATAATCTAATTATGGTCAAAGTCGTGCTGCCATAATGAGAAGCAGGTTGAAGGGCTGCTTTCCCAAACAAAAATGTTGTTTTTGGCGCGGCTATAATCGACCCACTCCAGCATCAGAAGTGATGTGCTAAAAAGTCATGCATCTTTCTGCAGCTGCTCGACTTGTGCTAGCTCGCGTAGGCCTGCTTGGCTCGGTGATTTGACGGCGGTGCGTGATTGGTCCATACCCTGATTAGGCACGTGCGGAGAAAATGGCATCAAGAGAAATGACTCATTTCAAGTTAAAATAAGTTGAAATGGAACAGCTTCACTGCAGATTAATCCCGCACAAATATGGGAGAAGATATAGTAAAAGTCGAGGTACTACAGATCCAAGGTGCACCGTACTGCAATAAAGACAACGAAGAAGTTTGGTTTGAAATCCATAAAAGATTCAAGTTTGACGACATTTATGTGAATTTTCGTCGTACCTCAATGTTCAGCCCGGGAGGGTGGATTTTCTTGCGAATAGACGGTTCGTGGTGTTGCGCGATCTCAGGCTTTGACGAAGAAGTATTACAACACCTTTCTAACTTGGAGAAACGAAAAACGGGCAAAGCATCAAGAACTGCTGCGGGCACATTGGTTGTGCCAATGGGAGACTTGATCACTATGGCGACCCACTCTAAGATATCGGTACGTTTTCATGTTCATCATCCGCGATGGTCTCTGCCTTTCTATAAGGAGTGTTTTCTAACAAGGCCGAAGTCCAGGCTCAAAAACGGTCTCACATTTCTCACTATCAACCAAGATACTATTGCGTATGATATGTTGCATGAGCCACACGCGAAGAACAGGATTCGAAGGATGATAAAGTCAAACCATGAACTGAAACTCTTCCGTGGTATGTTGTTGGGCAAAGCGGAGAAGGTCTATCGGTACAGCGTATCTTCAAAAGGAGAACGCCGTCAGATATTTTATTGGAGATGAAAAGGATCCTTGTTCCGTCCTGGGAATTAAAGTACGCGTATTAAGGGCTCATTTATTGCAATTGATTCGGTAATTTGTCCAAGGATGATATAAGGCGCGTTTCTGACTAGGACGTGCGGAGACGTTACAAGTTCAATCGATCGAACTTGAAGCAAATGCTGCAAAGTACGACGCGGCTAAAAGCACTCACGGGTTTATCCCAATAGGAATATGTGAACATGCCAAGAATTCACGGAACTGACAAACATGTATCATTCATTTCGTAAAAGGAAGAGAAAAGCATACCGAAACCTTGGAACGTTGCTCCGCACAGTTGAGCGAAAATGCTCGCAAACGACTAAGAGGCTCATATGATTCGTTCCATCTGTGCTCTTACTAATTGCAACAGGGATGACTCGATAGCTTCATGATTAGAAGAGTTAATCATATATGCTTTGTATCTGATAAATTGCTTGCGTACAATTGAGGACTATAGTTTACTTTGAAATCTCTTGAACATGAAGAAAATTAAAACTGGTGTGAGGATGTTAAACCCGATCTCAGGAACCACAATTGGAAAAGAGATAGTTGGACACGAATAGGTCCTATTTGATGATGGAAGAATCCTTACTAAAAACGGTATTACCAGTCCCCGTTTCAGCAGACGAAGGATGAGACTAGCGGAGTTGAATTCTTGGACCCAGGCGCTTTAAGTGTGGTGCTAATCAGCAAGCACGTCATGAGCCATTAGTGTGATTGCGAAAGCACTCGGACTTGGAACAGAACCCAATTGTTGAAACAATTACAAGAATGGGACAAAGAAAGCAGATCAACTGGTCTCGCAACTAGATTTTTTTTTCCTGGAGAACACTCCTGGTCATGAACCATTCCAATGTAGATGGTTCTAAGATACAATGGGACGTAATAATCGTACCCAAAGGATAGGACGTCGCATTGCACAATCTATGTCTCCGCATTGGATGATGATACTGTGGTTGTGGTTAAGCAAGACGCACATGATCATTTTAAGCTACGAATGCCTGTGTCAGGATGCATCTTGAAAGTTCGACTCACAAACCAGAAAATGGTCGCACCTTTCAGATACTGGTACAATGCCTACCGCACGTTGGAAGACATGGACCTAGTTTCGATGATATAATTATGCACCACAATAAGAGCATATCATCATATCACCGACTAGACAGTCGACCTGGTTTAGGCTATCTCCGATGGTGCTCTCAATGCCGTCTTTCTTGGTGCTACGAGCACCCACAATTGCAAGTACACGGATGCCCAGCACAGGACAGCGAAGGTTGATAAGCGCGCGAAGGCGTGCAACAGCATTCGGCAATTCCTGCGCATACATGGGCTACTCACTAACACGTACTGATCTGGACGATGCCGATAAGAGCGCTGTTGACATTGTTACAATCCGCTGCATGTGGGCACAATATCGAACATGCGTTATTCTCTGGCCAAAAAAGAAGGTTGGATACAGACTCCATTCAAGCTCTCTGCCATCATGAAGTTGGAAACTTCGTTTTCGGGCAGCATAAGCTGCGATGTAATTATTTTCTTCAAAACGCGATTGTGAAAGCATGGACGAAATGTTGAGTCAGCTTATGCAGCGATTCAATAAGATGCCCCCCTCGAGCATGGGCACGTAAGATTCATGCATCGCTTGGCATATATGTGCGGGGGCGCAACATGCTGCTACGTGAATAGAACACGGGGTACAACATCGCCGAGTTTCCAGTGAGCTAGGGACCCTGCATGGGCTGATGATGTCAACCCTAAATTATATCGGCATATCTGATTCGTACATTGATATAATCGGACCGTAATCAGGGTCCGATGGCTTAGTATCATTGAAAGCAAGAAGCGAGGACCCAAAGCCAAGACATGTATCGACGTCGGAGTTGCGACGACACATGACACGTGCGATAAACCCAGGCCTTGGCAAAATCTAATAATAGCGAAGCGAGAGGTGATTGGCCCTCAAAATGACATGCTCCTTCCCCGCATTCACAACGTGCAAGGTCGATGCCCATTTGGGCGGTGCTACCTACGATCAGATGCATATACAGGATGTCAGCGGACCGTACGGGTAGCAACAATGAACTGCGAAAAGGTATATAAAGAAGAGTGATGACACCTTCGTACCACCACCAACAAGAGTCTTCATCAAAGATGCGTGTTGCTATTGTCCTCTCCCTTGCGGCCATGTTGTTCTCGGTGGTGTCGGCGGAGTCGCTGTGCTTCGGACGTCCAAGCTTCCTTGGTTCGACCTGCGCCGCTGAGTGCAGCGTCCGTGGCCACCACGGTGGATCGTACTCCAACGGCCAGTGCTGCTGCGGCGCTTCGACCAAGCGCAGTGAAGAGACGCACACACAAGAGGAGGACCGCAAGAGTGCGGAAGAATTCTTCGGTGGCAAGTTGTTGGTCGCAGACGATGATTCGCTCCAGGTACACAACGGACACTCCGTGAGCCGCGTCTCTTGCACTCTGTGCAATGTGAAAGGAATCAACGGTGGCGGTCTGTGCTGCAAGGCAAGCTGTGCGTCGGTCGGCAAGCCAGGTGGTTACTGCAGTGACGGTGTTTGCGTGTGTAAATAAGCAGGCGCGCAAGACGATGCAAGTATTTAATAGCATAAAGATAGTTTGAATTGTGTGTTATTTAGTTATGTGGCCACAATCTGGACGCGACATGCGCAGGCTGGTGGTGTGTTGGATTGGAGTGAATCCGACTTGTCCAGTCAAGTCATGCCATGGCTGCTGCACAGCTGCTATTAAATCATCCGCGGGCTATGCCAATAATGAATAGTTTCGGGCTACTTGAAAGGCCCTAAGAATCTCCTGCTTGTGACAGACACGGTCTTTCTTGGTCGACTTGCATGTCAGTGTACACGCATGTCATTTCGTTAGGTTACGTCATCTTGCTGCAATCCTGCCTTTTCTATGCTTGGTATCTATAGGGGATTCAGAATCTCACTCAATCCTCGACAGAATTTCCACCCATGAATTTGACATGTGGACAGTAGGCTAGATATGCAAGTAGCATGAAAGCTTGTTGCCACAGTAGAAGCCCTTCATGTTCCATTGATCCCAACCTGCAGCTACGCGGCGCCGACCTGCGAGGTTCGGCCGATCCAGGCACCAGGGGCCCCTCCCCACACTCTTAGTGTCACGGACCCTGACTGCGTCTGTCATTCATTTAGCGTGCAGGCAAATTCAAATTCAAAAACCAAACATCTTGTGTTTTGTGGCGGTATTATGTTTACAAAAAGATGGTTCACCAACCAAATGGCTAAAGGGCAAGCAGTCTTTGGACACGTCCAGTTAGGACGGCGTTGATTCTCGCCCAGCATCACTGCTGTGCTGTGCTGGGCTGTGCTGGCAGTGGAGGTGACGGCACCGTGCCAGGCGACTTGGCAAGGTTCGTTGAGGCGTGAGTATGCCTACAAAATAAGGGACCAATACTGACAGGATATGTGACATGAGTCCAGCTGAGTTCCATAAGAGCAGGCAAATGAGGACCGGGCCAAGACAGACAAATGAGAGGTGGCCAGACTGTCGCAGGTTGCACAGGGGCCATCGGGAAATAAGACAATGACGAGAAAGAAGGTATCCAAGAATGAGACGGAACGAGTGACATTTGAGGCATTCCATCAAATGGTCCAACAAACGGTCTGGCAAATTCTGGACTGAACAAAAGCTGGTCATGGTAGTCCGACGGACGTTCAGGCACCGGTACAGACGACACTGTAGGCGGAGAGCATGATACACTGCTCATTGATGGCTGGTGAGACATGTTTGAGGGCGGGTGAAGTAAAGGAATGCATTTGGTCTCCAAAGAAGTAGTACAACAGGGCCGCTTAAAGGTGCCCGAGTGTGGAAGATCCGTCGCCGTTTGAAACGAGTGTTATTGGTCATGTTGGTGCGGAAAGATCGTCGTCGTGTTGGTAGTTTTGCGAAGATCTTGCGGCATTTTGGATCGTTCTTTAGAATATGATATACGCTCCGATTGTTCTGAAGCATTCTCAGATTGACCGAGGCTAGGTGACTGACAACATACATGACTTTCATCTTGAACCGGGCCCTGTAAAGCAAGAAAGCAATTCGAGTATCGGTAGTGAATGTGCACTACATTCACCCGTGCCATAGGTAACGCGCTATAGTCAAAAATTTGGCCACAGAGACAATACATAAAATGATAGGCAAGTGCGAGTCTCGCCGGAGCTATTTTGTCTTCGGGTACATGGTTAAGGTTGTAGTGCTTTTTGAACGTGCGACGCAATAGGTCTGCACGATAAACCGGACGGCGAAGAGGCTGATGACGATTCTGATGTCGTGCCTTTTGCCGTATACACCTACGTGACAGGGTGCCTGGTGAATCCATATCGAATGGTAAAAAGACTGAAAGCCACTTTTCAAGTAATAGCAGGTGAATAATGCGCGTATGAGAATGCATGCATGACCATACGCTTGGGCCTATTGCAAATGCAGACGCTGAACAGACATGGAAACATATGCAATGGGATTTGGTGTGCATCAGTGGCGTGGCGCCCAACGTGTGCATGCCCTTTTATTTTATCTAAGGCTGTGTTGATGAGAAGATGACAGGATAAGAGTAAGGGCGAAAAGGGGACGGGAAATGATGAGAAAAAGATGTACATAGACGCGAGAGATGGCCAAGGAAGTTAAGAACTCGTAGAGGTGGTGAAGTGGACGGAGAGGTGAAGGGCAAGGAGCGTTCATGAGAGAGTGTGAGCTGATGGCTACAATGAAGGGGTAGTGAGGTGTAGAGTAGAGAAGGAATCATGATGATGCATGCCAAATGAGAATGATTGAAATAAGAAGTGGAGACATAAAGGGGCAATAATTTCAATTTCAAAAGGATGCGAGTGAACCAACATGAGGGCGAAAAGAATGCAATGCAAAAGAATGCACACGCGACGAGGACGCGCCCAAGATCAACGTTGATGCATGTAAGACTTGGGCATAGTGGAGTCGGAGATCGCGCCGGAAAGTGCGACGACACGTAGTAATGCGTCTGCAGTTGCGACAAATATGCATGCTGATACGACACTATATTCCCATAGACCAATCCACGTGTACGATCTTTGAACCAGTGCACGCGTTCAAACGGGTCAGATCCTTAGATGCACTTTTGGCAGTGGTTTACACGCTATACACCCCAAAGTGCGAAACAGAGCAGGCACGGATCAAGTTCTTGCTTGGGTGTTTGCGGTGGACCGTCGTTCGTACTATCGGGTTCTAGGATCACGTACAACCCATACAACACCCCACTGGCCAAAAGTGTGCTTTTCAGTGTCTTTTAGAGGAATGTTTCATGAAGTTGATTATTATAATGGAATAGAAGTCAGTGTTAGTGTTAGTGTTAGTGTTAGTGTTAGTGTTAGTGTTAGTGTTAGTGTTAGTGTTAGTGTTAGTGTTAGTGTTAGTGTTAGTGTTAGTGTTAGTGTTAGTGTTAGTGTTAGTGTTAGTGTTAGTGTTAGTGTTA